GTAATTGATATTAGGTTTAATTGAAATTTTATTTCATTCTTGTTAAAATTTATTAATTATGATATCATAGACTGTTGTGGTGTTAACAGCGATAATAATACTGATAAAAGTTTAAACAATGACAAATGATCACTGGTGAAATAATCAAAAGTTCATTAAGTATAAACAAGATTTTGCGATTTTGATGTAAACAAGGCAGCTTGAGATTTGTCTGTGGAAAGAAAAAAATAATCTATGTCAAAATTTAAACTGAATATTTTAATAACTAAATCAAAATTAACATTTTATTCAGTCGCAAAATTATAGCTTTTAAATTTTCAACATTCTAATCCAATATAAATTAGTTTTAAATTATTTGTTTCAAAAGATTGTTTAGTAATAAATCATATCACTAAACCAAATATTCATTCATCCTTTCCTTGAACTAATCAACAATCAATTATGAGGCATTTTAGTTTATCAATAGCTGGACACTGTCGTCACCAAAATTTAGAAAAAAATTAATCGAATATAATAATTGCAATACCTGTACGATTCAACTCATCATTTATTTGTTGCTAATGAAGCATTTTAATTATACAAACAATAGTTGATTATATTTGAGGCTGATGATAATTTGATAATTTCTTGTATAAAAGTGCAAAACGAGCTTATTTCATCAATAAAGATATGTAATATAAATTGATGAAATACGTCGAGGAAAAAATTGCATAATTAACAAAAAGCATTTTATATTTCAAATATTCCAAATTTTATAACAAAAAGACAGAAATATATCTTTGTAAAATAATGTTAATTTTCGAATCTTTCACATCTTGTTTTTATATTTTAATGCAATTTTCTGCTAATGTTTTATTTTGTTTTAATTTAGTCTATACTGCGATTTTTTTCTTCTTTCTGCACGAAAAATTAATTTGCAAAAATAACTTGGTTATCGAGTCATTTTAAATAGGTTAACTTATCGTTCATTAATTCGCAATTATCCAAACTGTGATAACAATCAATACTGTTAAATATAACAACTCATTAAGTAGTATAACAGAAAGCAAATTTCGATTCACTTTTTAATACATATAAAAATATATCAAAACTAAATTATACAAAATCAAAAAGAATTTAAAAAATTGTATAATATTTTATAGAGTATGAAAAGAATATGAATTACATTACAGTAACTGCTATTTCAGTTAGACTGATAAATCGATTATTACTTTTACTTCATATTTTCTCAGACACATTCATCGTTATACATTTGATTATTTCATTAATTTCTCTTCATATCACACATAATTATAAATATATAATAAGTTAAGTTTTCAAATTACTTCAGATATAGTAACAAATAACAAACAATAACATATATATGAAGTATATATGAAGTAAAAAGTAATGATAATCGATTGCATTTGATACTTTTTTTTAAAAAAAAAAGAAATTTTCGAATAAATTTATGAATAAAAAAAGACTTATAAAATTTATGGGCATTTACATTAGGTAACAAATATGAATGTCAATGGAAAAAAAAGGAAGATTTCAATATTATTATCTAATCATTATCATTGCAGCAAAATTCAAATTTTATTAGCAAAATTGATTACAGCATATAGTGATATATGCATGAAATAGTACATCAGTTGTTAATTCACAAGTTATTTAATAAAATATTCACTCTTTATTTTTGTTTAAATTATTTGAATTAGCAAAAAAAAAAATCGATGTGACCGTTTAATGACAATATCGAATTCCTGTAAACGGTCAAAATTTCTTTTTTGATTGAACAACAAAAAAAAAGAAGAAATTATGTAATTATATTATAATTAATCATTACACACTAGAAAGTATTGGCATTTAATGAAAATGAATTAATTCCGGTAAATTATTTCAGATTATTCAAATTCAGTTATATTGTGATAATATTTACGAAGTTTTATCCTAAACTATCCATTCATTTGATTGAATGAAAGAATCGACATTGATCAAATGTTATACCTGAATAGCATGACTTCATATCGTAAAATATTTAACAATATTACAGGAACGAAAATATGAACTGAATAATTGGATAATCTAAAATAGTTTGTTGGAATTAATTCATTTACCATTAAATACCAACAACTCCTAATGTGTAATAATTTACAGGAATGAATTCATTTTTCATTAAATGCAAACTTTCCACTTATCATTAGCGCTGCTGCAGTGAAATGATGAATAAGCCGGAATGATTGTCCGTAGTATTTTCGGATATTATCGGTTGGTGCTAAGCCGAAATGTGTTTGTGTGAAAAGTTGATATGCTTGGAATGGTTGAATTGCTTCTTTGAGGATTCCAATAGGGAATGTTTATTTTGTAAATTAAATATTTGTCAAAATTTTCCAAATAAAAATATGAAATTTTTTTGGAAATGATATGAAATTAAAGGAGAACTATGTTAACCGATGGAGTTTTCTAATTTAATTAGAGAAATTTTTTTTAATTTAAATCTTTTATTAATTTGTCCAAAAAATTTATGGATATTCAAAAAATGCTGTATTATTTAAATAGATAAGCATTTTTGTTTTACTTATTGGTAAATATAATATAGGCAAAAATTATTTATGATAAAAATTCAGTTTTTTTTTTACTGTATTATGTTCTAATTTTGTTATATTTTTCAGTTAACTATCGTTTTCTATTGTATTGCTCACCTTATTTCTAACCATTTCTACTGCGATTTTTCCCACCAATATGGCTTGTCAATCCGGGATCCGAGGTTTGCCCTTTTTCTCATATTTTACAATTTAATTTGAGCTATAGGTTAATTTTTGTTTTCTAAAATGTCTAATCTAATTTTATTCTACCAAATACTTGAAATTTGATAGAATTTGGATTATAATTGAGGTTGTTCAGTAATAAAGTTTTCCACCTGACAAAAATGCTGCGCTTATCAGCTATATTTTTCTTTTTCAGCAAGTGACAAATTGCTGAGATTTTTTAATGAATGCAAATCGGGGAAGATAAGACTTATGAAAATCGTTGTTAAAAATGGTATCAATTTTTGGTGAATTTGTTTTTTTGCAAAGAATAGAATTTGAAATAACACCTGGCCACCTGACTAGGAGTACAAATGATGTGTATTAGTCATGGAGATGCTCATCACATATATCCCACAATTCTTTGTGTGATTTTGCAGTCAGATCTTAGTAGCATCAATAACATCACTTTAAACCAAAACATAAGCACTCTTGGATATGATGATTGAGGGACTTTTTCAAAATTTTTTATAAGTATTGTAAATTATTAGTAATAGAAACTTTCCATATTAGTTTACTTTCTTATTTTGTTTTATTTTTCACTTTATTGGCTTTTGTGTTGTAGAAAAGCAATTTCATGCAAATTATTTCAGAAGAATTGTGTGTTAATTTCCAAGGTAAAGGTACGGATGATTGGCGTGCCGATTTCAGACGTCATTTGCCGGATTGCATTGATGCATTTGAACCATGCTACATTTTGTTTCGAATCGATGAACCATATGGATGGATTCTAATGAGGTTTGTTGTTTTCATTGAAAATAATGCTAGTAATACATGGACTAACTTGCACACGACTTAATGAAATGACTTAAAAAAAGTGACTTCTGAAGATAAATCGTGATCTTTTTGGAAGTTTTCAACTGTTTTACTTTTTTCTGAATACCCTCGAGAAATTTAATTGAATAATAATCATAAAGCGAGATTCAAAAGACGTGTATTGTTAGCAGGTTATATGTAAATATGATCGTGATTGGAATTTCAAAAAAATTTATAAATTTATTATAGCTTTGCCGATGATCGTGCTCCTGTTCGTGAGAAAATGGTTTTTGCTGCGACATGGGCTACGTTTAAATCAGAATTCGGACAATCCAATATCAGGCATTAAATTTTATTCTTGCTTACTCAGTGTTCATTAAGATTTTAAATTATTGGCTCTCAAATTGTTCTCTTAGTCGTGGCTTTTCATGTCATCTGACCATCTAGATTTTCGGCTTTGTGCTTTTTCATGAATTTATGTCGCTCTGCATTGAATATGGTTGAATATTATATGCCAAAAAACATATTATGAACTGATCATTCAACTAATTTATTTTCTGGGACTGTTGATAACTACCTTTCCTTTTGTATTTTTTTGTTGAAAATTGTAGATACGAGTATCGTGTGACAGATAAGAAAGAAATGACATTGGAAGCATTTGAAAAATGGCTTTCAAGTAAGGAAGATCCCGGACCTATGTCGGAACTTGAAAAAGAATTTTATAGTGCGCATCAGGAGCATAAAGTTACTGCACCGTCAGTTGTTGCAGCACAAACTGTCAGAGGTTAGTTTTTTTAATAATACTTTTAACTTTTACTTTTAAGATGGTTCAGACATCTTTGTATCCTTTGATATTTTTTATATGAGAAGAATTATAATCTGAAAAATTTAAAAGATCATTTTCAAATTTTATCTTGAGAATATTACCTTCATGAATTTCAAATTTTTGTGAAAGATTAAGCATCATTTTATAGGTGTTTTCTTCCCAGTTGATCGGGATGCTGAAGAAGAATTACGAAAGTTAGCTAGTCACGCAGTGAATTATGTTCAGTTAGCTGTTGATACATTGAATGAAGCAATCAAATTGGAATATTCAAAAACGTCCATCTCTCCCGAACAATTGAATGAGGTATATTACCTTGAATGAGACAACTTTTTTTTAACAGTATAATTTTTATCTATCTTGTTTTCAACTCAGTGGCAAATTCTCATTCACAAAACAACCAACACCATAAAATTTCCTCTTATATTCTCCAATTTTTCTTGTGAACATTTTTTATGGATTCTTTTTGAAGGATACCTTGTGTGGCTCAATCGGATTGTAGTGAAGGTTTTATAATTTGATGGAAAGATTTTTTCTTCTTGACATTATAATATAATTATCAGAAAATATAGTCGTTTGAGCCGATCATTTGGTTGTTCTTCTTTATCGTTGATCCGGAAGGATAACTTGGGACTTCTATTCTCTTTTCTATTAAGTGAGGTAGTGCTTTATAAGAGTATAGATGGTAAGACTGCTTCATTTTAGAGCAGTAAGTTACACTGGAATACATTCCTCTCGAGTTGGGTGGTGCTCAATAGGCACTGTTTATAGTAAATAAACAATTATTAATTTTGTACATAAAACTGGTGGAGAGCAAAGAATTGCCAGGTATTGTTTATAGTAAATAGATAGTGAAATTGATGGTCCTGGTCATTTAATAGATAAAACTGATAGCAAACAAAGAAATGACTAAACATATGGTAGATAAAACCAATGGTAAACTAATGATCATCTAGTCCTTTGAAGATGATGGTAGAAGGGAGTTATTTGATGTTAATCATTTATAGTATTCTTTAGAATCGTTAATTGAAATATTAAAAAAAGCATATCCTATCATTTGAGATAAAAGATTTCTATAACATAGATTTCACGAATACAGCGACATTTTAATTATGTGAATATTCCATGTTATAAAATCATTTAGGGTTACCAACAATTTTTATTGTTTATTCCGTAACGTTTCATGGTCTGAATTAATGCATTAATTTATACTCTTTAATTTCCTTTCGTAATCACCGATAAATTAAGAGTGGAGCGAGTGAAACGAGAAACATCATGAACGTGTCTATTCACAAATCATAATAATCATTCCAATATTTGAAAATATATTACCTGAATGACCGAACTTCTTTATATTTTATGTTTTATTAGTGTAGTTTACTTTTTCAGGTAATACCGCGAGACAAGCCACGATACCATTTCTATCGTTTCTCTCATAAATATAACAATGAAGATTATAATAGTTTATGTAAGCATGTTATAAAGCCATTCTAAATGCTCTGAAGATTTTTTTTTCTTTCAGGATTTATTTAGACTGGATTTACACTAAAAATTCATTTTGAATATTGCATTTGAAGAAATTTCATAACACTTTTTTTTTAAGCATGTAGCTTTTTTTACATTTTTAGATATACTCCATACGTTCATGTTTTCTATTACAGTTTTCATCTATTCAATGCCTTCTTCTGGATGTACAATCAAAGAAAGGATGCTTTATTCAAGCTGCAAGCAACCGTTTTTACAAACTGCTTTGTCGGCTGCAAATCTTTCGCCTGATAAAAAGGTTTTAGTTTGAAAACAGTTCGAAATTTCGTTAAGATTAGAACTGAAAACTAAAGACAAGGTAATCAATAACTAAAGAAGATGACAGAATAAGTGATGATAAACAACAGCAATTAAGATGCATCTCTATGCAATTATACGGAATCAAAATGAGTAAATGTCGGCAATTATGATACTTTATTTGATTAGCTATTTTGCTAGTGAAGATTAGGATATTATTTAATTTCTTCTTTTAGATAGAAATCGATAGTAAAGAATTGTTGACATCAGATATTCTCATTGATTATACTCATCCAGCTCCACAAATTAAAGAGAAAAATTTTGCAAAACCACCGGGACCATCACAAAGAGGAACACGACGTGTTACGAAAGCAGTCGGTTAATATTTTTTGCCTTATGCTTCAGTTATGTGCTGCAAAAATCTTTTGTGCAACTATTATTTTCTACTGCTTTCTGCAGGATCACTATATGTGCAGATACTTTTTTTTTTTTTGTATTCGAAATACTTCTACGTTGGCGGTGCACTGATTCCAAAAAAAAAAAGAAAAAAAAAACGAAACATGAGAAAATCTTATTGTTCTCAAAAATTTTGTCCTCAATTTCATTTAAAATAAGTGTAAGTGCAGTAGAGTTGTTGCTTCAAATATTATTCATTTCCTATTAGAATTGTCGTATTTCAATTGAAATCGAATAGATAATGAAAGGTCGGAAAACTATTATATGTAAAAAGTGGTCATCAAGCTTGTTTGAGTTCTCATTGTGATTTCGATATTGTGAGATGTGTCTACATATAAAATGTATGTATCCTAGATTGTATTTTCCTGGGTATATATTTGCCTATGTGAATCCATGTATAATCTTACATTCTTATCGTGTATGCTTATCGTATTTCAGAAAATGGAGATGATAATAAAGTAAGTCATCTCATCTATAGAAAAACAGTAAATAATGTTAGAGAGTTAAATGTTACTGTGATTATAGATCTTATTCAAAGGAAGCATTTGTATTTTTACTAAGATCACTAACAGTTTTTTTAATAAATTTTTTCACTACTTGTTTTATTAAATGTAGTATTATTGCATTATCAATATAATCATTGATATGTTTCTATCATTTATCTTTTTCTTCATTCTGTTCTCACTGTTGCTTTTGCATTTGTAAAATAAAGGTAGAAATTGGTGAAAAGTTAAGGGTATTCTAACAACCCATACCATATAACTCGCTATGCTTGCTTTATTTAATATTTAACACTTCTCTGTGATATTATTATTTTTATTGTTTCAAATGTGATTTTCTTAAGTTGTTACTCTGCATTATGGAATGTCATACTTTATCATCTAAAAGAAATAAAAGTTTTATAAAATTTAAAGATGTTACGTACGGTAGAAGTCTTCATATATGCAACACATTTTGATGTTGAATATTGAATGATTTCATTTGTTAATTTAAATTCATTCTCGTTGATTTGCTCACTTAGTGCTAAATGGTATTGCATCTATTATAGAGGAAATAATTTCCAGATTTTGTTAAACTTTCAAAATGAATAATGGGTAGTTCATTTGATTTTTAAAATTTATCAAGAAATTGATCTGTTTATTTGGGAAGGCTCTGATACTTTATTTGGCAACAATCTGTGAATGAATTTATAAGTTCAGTGAATTTTTACGTAAAATAACAATATTTAAATACTCTTTATCTGTTACTGTATAGCATGGAAATTCTTACTTTCGCAAACATACATGAAATTGAGTGAAATTTCAAAACAAATATGCGGGAAGAGCTAACAGCAGCTTATCTGAATAATGGCAATATTAGATGGAAGCATTTTGAAGATCGTAAGGCGTTTTGATGTATATTTCACAAAAGAAAATATTTCGAATTCATACATGTTGACTTATATCACTAACTTACCCTACTATCAGTTATTGATTGATTTTATTTTAGAAAAAAACGGTAAAATGATAATTTATCAGTTAATAATAATGATAATGGGTTTAAGGAAGCAAATAATTCTCCTCTGAGAATTTGTCGAAAAATTGCAATTTTAGCTGACCGAATACCGGTAAATTTTCTTATATTCAATGAACAGTGGCGGTATTTGTCGTCGTATCGGTCACAGTTTTCTTTTTATAATATTTTGTGGTTACATGTCTGAAATACAGAAAAAAAGTTAACTTTTTTCATTGGGTACTAACGATGGCTACGAAGATGATCATTAGCAATCCTCAATTCTGTTAAAAGTTTTTAGCTAAATTAAGCTTTATTAGCTGTTGTTTCTAACATTTAAAGTTTCTTTTTTAGTAGATATTTTGATAGAATTTTAAGTTTCAAAATGATTTCCGAATATTTTGAAAAGCTTTTAAACTTTCGAAATCATACTATAATTTACCTGGAAATGACACCAGGTTCAAGTGGTGTCTCAACAACGCGCTTTTCTTCTTCTTTAAGCAGCGTACTTTCGCTATTTGGATTAACACTTGTTACAACTTCACGCTTATACGTTACAGGTTGACCATTTTTATCCACATAATTACCTTCCAAACTTGCTTCTGTATTTGCTACTGTACCTCGAGGTAATACCTATAATAAATAGTACATTAAATAAATGTAGTTTTTTATGATTGTATACAGTGATTTAAAATTTTTGAAAAATTCCAATTTCTAAAACATTTCAAAAATTATTTACTTTTTTTGGTTACTTATTCTATAGCGTTA